CTCCTGTAGACTGAGGCCGGCTCTGGACCGGCACCGGAATAAGGAGTGGAACCGCGATAGGGACCGGCCCTGGACCCGGGCGCTGGTACCGGGGTGGGAATCAGCCCCGGACCCCGCGTCACTCTTCGGCGCCGGGATGGGCACGGACACCGGGACAGGGACCGACTCTGGACCGGCACCAGCATAGCGACTAAGCGGGATCGGAACCAGCCCTGGGGGATCACTCTCCTGGGGACGGGGACCGGGACCGAGACCAGTCCTGGACCAGGAGAATGGCACCGGGATAAGGACCGGCATCCAGATGAGGACCGGTCCTGGGCCGGGGATCACTCTCCTGGCGACCGGGACTGGTGCTGGACCGGGAGACTGGCACCGGGATAGGGACCAGAACCGGGACAGGGACCGGCGCTAGGCTCTTTAGTGAAGTGAAACTGCACAGAGGAGCAGGATGGGCTAAAACCGCAGAGAAAAGGCTTTTGGTTGGTTTTGTTCTAAACTTGGAGCAATCCCGTGACTTGTGGGTGCTGCAGCTGCTCCTGACCTCCTGCATCCTCTGCTCTACCCCCCAGTGCAGGACGGGGCCCCTTGGAGATGCTCCTGCTCCAGAGTGTGTTGGATCCTATTTGGGATTCTCCAGGCTTTATCCACCAGCTTTGCTGGGAGCAGTGGCCCCCTCCCCAAGCCCAGACCCCATTTTCCTTCTGATTTCCCTCATTTTCCTGCATTTAATTCAAGCAAGAGAGATAAAGATGAAATTTGAGGGAGGAACTGGAGCAGGAATTGCTTGAGTCATCCCTCTCACACCCCCCTCCCCCTTTTTTTTCCATCTCTCTTTAATTTACACCAGGAATGATGATGAATCAGCCACAGTCCTGTGCCCCGTTTCCACCCGTGACACTGGGGAGTCACTTGCTCATCCCATGGATTATTGGGGTGCATCCTTGGCTGTTTTGGGGAGCTGGCAGCATTTGGTGCTAAAGGGGTGTTTTCTTGGGGGGAAACAAGCAGAAACGACCCCAGTTTTCCCCCTTCCCATGAGTTTCTAAGACCCCACAAGTTAAATAGTGCCAGCCCTAAATTCCTGTGCACATCCTGAGTGGATTCGACCCAGGACAGTCGTGCCTCTCATCCTTCTACCTGCTTCTTTTCTCCAAAAAGGAGGAGAAGAGCATGGAAAACACCAGGGCTGGAAATGCCTGAGTCGTTCCCTTTGCCAGTGGGGTGGTGACAGGCCACCCATGGCTTCAGCGAACCCTGTGTCCCCATCCCTGTGTCCCCATCCCTGACCTCTCCGCTCGCTCTATCCTGCAGGTACCGTGGCCTGACACTGGTGCTGACCTTCCTCTGCTACACCAGCTACCACTTGTCCCGAAAACCCATCAGCATCGTCAAGGTTGGCTCCAACCTCCCCCCAACTGTAGGGAGAAGGGATGTGGGTGTCCCCAGGCATCCCAAGTCCCACTTTTTCTCTCCCCACAGAGCCAGCTGCACCCCAATTGCTCTGCTTTGGGCCCAAACCCCCACAATGACTCCAACAGCAGCACGTGGTGCAGTTGGGCACCCTTCGGTAAGGCTGAGCCCTCCCTGTCACCCCCAAATCTACCCCATGGCAGCCAGGACAGGGTCCCCTGTGCCCTAACCTGGGTGGTGGCTGGAGGTTCTGGCTCCTTCTTAGGCACCAGGGGGTAATTAAGCAGCCAGTGGCAAAATCAGGGCTGGGAAGAGACCTGGCCATGCTCCAGGAACCCCCTGGGAGGAGTGTTTGGGAATGGGGGTGCGAATGAGCCAGTGGCCGTGGGAAGGGAAAACCAGGAGGCCACGCTGATGTGGCCCTAATGTTTCTATTCCAGATGGGGACAACTACAAGGAGCTTTTTGGGGCGCTGGATAATGCCTTCCTGGTGGCCTATGCCATTGGGATGTTTATCAGGTATCCATGTCCTTTGCACCCTATTCCCTCCACACACCAGCCTGCCAGGAAACTGGTTTCCCTTGGGATACGGACTGATTTCCATTTCCATGAGGGTGCTGGGACCCTCTCAGGATTCAGGCACCTGCTCGATGTGATAACACATCACCTGTAACAGCTCCTGTCCATGCTCTTCCCTGTCTCCACAGTGGGATATTTGGGGAGCGCCTCCCCCTGCGCTACTACCTGTCGGGAGGGATGGTGCTGAGCGGGCTCTTCACTGCTCTCTTTGGCCTCGGCTACTTCTGGGACATCCATGTCCTCTGGTACTTCATCGTCATGCAGGTACATCCGCGCTGGAGGACCTGGATTTTACCACCACAGCCTCATCCTGGCTTTTTGGTGGCTTTTTGGGCAGCGGGGTGCCCCAGTTTCCAATAGGGAATGCCGGGCATTTCCACTCCCATCAAACCTGGTCACACGTGGCGTGGGAGCCGAAACCACCGGGTGTGCCAGTTCTGCCGAGCAGGGCGGGCGCCCAGTTTGGCAACACCAGCCGCTCCCAATGGAGCCACAGGAAGGATGCAAATGGCTCCAGGATTGCTCCAGCAGGAGCAAAGCCACTAAACCAAGTGTTTCCTTGACAAGTTTGGGCCAGGGGTGGCTATTTTTGAGCCCAGAACGGGATCCATGGATCAAATCGGATGTCTGATGGTGCTGTGTTGCTGCCTCTCTTTTCCCAGATCTGCAATGGGCTAGTGCAGACGACGGGCTGGCCTTCTGTCGTGGCATGTGTTGGGAATTGGTTTGGGAAGGGAAAGTGAGTGTTTCTCCAGCATGTCCCACCCCAAACCTGATCCCTGTTGGCCTCAGCAGCTGTTCTGATGATCCCGACCCTGGCTCTATCCCCGCAGGAGAGGTTTGATCATGGGCATCTGGAACTCACACACCTCCGTTGGGAACATCTTGGGGTCACTCATCGCTGGTGTCTGGGTTTCCTCTGCCTGGGGCTTATCCTTCATCGTGCCCGGCATCATCATCACTGCCGTGGGCGTCATCTGCTTCTTCTTCCTTGTGGAATGTGAGTGGTGTGATCCAGGCTGCAGCAGAGGACCAGTGTAACACCAAAACCAGCGGGACCACAGGGATACACCTTCATAGAATCATAGTATCAGAATGGTTTGGGTTGGAAGGGACCTTAAAGCTCACCCAGCTCCAACCCCTGCCACGGGCAGGGACACCTTCCACTAGAGCAGGTTGCTCCAAGCCCCTGTGTCCAACCTGGCCTTGAACACTGCCAGGGATGGGACATTTACCACTCCTTTGGGAACCCTGTTCCAGTGCCTCATCACCCTTAACCACCGCCTCACCACCACCTTGCCCATCTCCAGGTGTTTTTTGGCAACCCCAAATCCTTATTTCCAGCTTTTGGCAAACAGGGATGTGGACCTGACCACCATGGGGATGCTCAGCATCCTTTGGGATCATCCAGGCAGGCTCAGCTCTTGTGCTGGCCACTCCTCAGCCTTTCTATAAAACACTTGGGAAGCACTTTGGATTTTACCACGGTTTTTTGCTGCAGGGAGATGCAGCTCAGCCCTGGGGGGTTCCCAGCTCCATGATTCTCCCTGCAGCCCTTGGGGCTGGTCCAGGCTCTCATGGGATCTCCTTTCTCCTTGCAGATCCGGAGGACGTCGGCTGCAGTCCACCTCTGCATCACGTGAGTTGAATTGATTCCCTATGGGCTTGTCCTGGTCTGGGTGGTTAACAGTTTATGGTGAATCATAACCAGGAATCAGGTCATAACCCCAGAAATTAGAGCAATGTTCAGTTATCGATGCTATTCCAGTGTGAGCATCCTCTGGGTCACATCCTTGCAATGAATCTGATGTTTCAGCCCCTTCCAGCAACAAGAGCCACATCTCCTGCTTCTGGCTTGCTTCTAGATGGCCTCTGACGAGGAGGATGCTGGAGGAGTGACCACCAATGGGAAGGATCCTGAAGCGGTCACCTCCAACGAGGGGCCACTGAGCACCTCAGGCCAGAGCAGCACAGATCACCCTGAGCGCCCCAAGGAGGCAGCTGGGGAGCCCGAAGCCATCAGCTTCCTCGGGGCACTCCGGATACCCGTGAGTTGTGGGATACCCCTCGGATCCTGATGGAGATGGAGGAAAGAGCAAAGCCAGGGCAGGACATTAGGGGGAAGCCAGATTCCATCTGGAGGAGGTTGGGAGAAGGAGGCTTTTCTGATGTCTTCTCCTCTCCTCCCAGGGTGTGGTGGAGTTCTCCCTTTGCCTGCTCTTTGCCAAGCTGGTGAGCTACACCTTCCTCTACTGGCTGCCCCTCTATATTGTGAATGTTGGTGAGTTTTGGGGGTGGTGGCGTGGGACTGAGCCTGGCAAATGGAGCATCTCCTCATCCCTCTCCTATTCCTTGCAGCTCATTTTGGTGCCAAGGAAGCTGGGGACCTGTCAACCCTCTTTGACGTTGGGGGCATTTTAGGTTTGTCACATACCTGGGTGGAGGGGGTGGATCAGGGATGATTTGGGGACAACTCTGGCCTTGATTGGAAGCCCCCTCCACAGGTAACACCATCCCTGGAGCACTGCAGTGAGGTTTATCCTGCATTCATAGCACCCAGCGGGCATCAAACACCCCTTGCTTTTATTTTGCCATCCAGGTGCCCATCACAACACATTTCCTTGGGTCTTGCTTGCTCAGACTCAAATTCTTCTTAGATAAAGAATAC